ACATTGCATTAGACCTGATCTGTTTGTATAAAGCTCTGACAGAACCAGTGCTTTTCCATCGGTAAGCAATGCTTACAGAAAGCTTTCCTTCTTTCTCATTTATTCTTCTGCTTTGCATTTTCAGAGCTCATAAGGAGAGATGTCTGCCAGATCAATCTCTCCTGAGTGTTTTGCTATTGCCTGTGAAAAACATTTCAGGTGGGTGGATAAGAATCTGTGTGTGTAGGTGATCTCTCTGAGGACACTCGAAATTTCTCTGCCTACTAATTACATCCCTTGGAAGATGTGGATTTGGTAATGAGACTCTTATCCTTGTCTGTCCCCTGGTCTCTGCATGCGCATCCGGTACATAGCCAATTTCTCCATGCTTCATTCAACTTGAATACGAAATGAATGTAGAAAAATTGGTCTTGTGATAGACTTTTCCAGATGTTTTTATTTCATTATACATCACTAAGAGAGAATAGGATAACTTTAAAGGGTGAAGACATATAGAGGTTTGTGAGAGTTTTGGGGAAAACATAAGTGATTAGGTGGGAAGGGCTATAGAACTACAAAGCATTCGCTTGTGCTTTGCTAGCACTAAGAAAAATCTAGTTTTGTTTCTACCATGGGGTATTTTAAAATTTACTGCTTCAGCTGATATCTTCTAGTGCCAGAGATCAGACTATAGTAGTTCTTTTCAAGAATCAACTAACTCTTTGGATTTTAAGGTAGACACAGGTGAGCAGCAACAGAGTAAAATAAGAATGTTGGCTCTCCCAGACCTGCCGACTGGCCCTGTATCCACACAGATCCATCATATTTTTAAACCCTATTGGGCAGCTGCCCCCATCCCCATCAGAAAGTAGTGTGGTGCAATGATAAAGAGCGTGGGCTTGGTGGGACTTGGTGGTTCACCTCTGCCATTTCTGCAACTCAGGAGGTAGATGTAGGAAGACTGAGAATGCAAGGCCAGCATGGGTGACTTAACCAGACACCATCTAAGAGAAAGTTAAACAAAGTGCATGGGCTTTGAGCACAGGCTGAAGTCTGAGTGCCTGTTACTTTTTTCCCTTTAGCAAGTTCCCCAGCCTCATAGAGTGTTTTCTCACCGAATAAACGGAGTGGTAACACTGACCTCAGAACTGCTCAAGGATGAAATAAAATACATTCAGAGTCCTCAAAGCAATGCCAGGGTTTAGAGAAGCATCGCACATCTTTTATCAAAGACAAAGGCATTGCTCCCCTTTGTTTCTGGCTATCTTTGTGCTATTCTGTGAAATGTTCCTTCACATCCCTGTCCAGTCAGTAAACCTCTACTTCTGAGTTTTTCTCTGCTCTTTTATTATATATTCATTCCTGCTCAGACAGTAAAGACACACAGTTGTGGATTTTTTTTGTTTTGTTTTTATAAATATTAGAGATTATGCCCCTAGACTCCTGACAGAACAATAAAAGAATTTTATGTATATCTCAAAGGGCAAAGTTTCAGAGATGGAAACTGAGAACCAGGAAGATAGAACAACTTTTCAAAGCACACAAGGCCTTCTTTTTTTTTTTCTTTTATTGAGTTTATTGGTACATTTTAGGTATACAGTACAGTTACATTCATTATTGGGACCTTGTACCTTAAATGACAGGTGGTCTTGGTTCTTATTTTTTCCCCTTGTCCCTGCCTCACAAGGACTCCCTTTGCTGAAGCTGGAGCAGGCATCCCTCTGGCTGGCAGCAGGATCCTATTTTGCCTCCTCAGGGTCCTTCCCCTGCTACCCTCTCTGATCCTACCCTCTCTGCTCACTCATTCAGACCATGAGTTTGCATCATCTTTGCTTTGGGGCTGATCTAGGGGAAACTAGACTCCCCAGGGGGCCTGGACCAATTCCACCACCCCACAAAATGGTGCTGCCTTGTCCTTTGGTGTCTTGGGGATACAAAAGAAGCAAGAAGCCTGTGTGCTGTGTGCCATGTGGCCAAGCTCCTCAGCCATGAACACTCTGGGACACGGTGAGCCCTTGGCAAACATCTGGCTTGGCCTGCAGCTCGCTGCTCTGCTGGTGCCATGTTCTATTTGCCAGTGTCCCGAACAAAGAGGGATTCATGGCTGCTTCTGGACCTGCCAGTCAAGATTTAAACTTTCCATCCTGTGTGAGCAAGCCTGGGTCTCACAGCTCCCTTGTACATTCAAATAGCTGAGTGATTAAATATTCATGCGTTGCTTATTTCAGTGTATTTAATTTATTATGTATCACTTTTCTTGGGTTTTATATAAACCTGCCTGAGGACTTTTTTTTTGCAGTTTAAATTCTGGCAGAATGTTCCCCTTTCCTTGGCAAAGTGTTGATGAGCTAAAGAAAGTGTGCTGAGCTAAGAAGATAGGTTATTTTTTTTTTACAGATTGCTCTTGAACACTAATAAATATGATATTATAGTCATTATCACCATCATTAATTAGACTTTACTGATCATTAATGTGATGCCCAACGTGAGGTGTCATTAAAACATCTGCATCATTTTATTCCCAAGGCTTGAAACCCTTGTCCTCAGCTTCCCTGTTTGTACAGGATGGCAAAAGTCAGGAGAGTTTGCTGTCTTCTTTTCTACCCCTTTTCCTGCTGATGCAGAAATTCTCATCCTCCTTCTCCTGTTTTCTGCACAGGGTCCATCTTCACCACATTCTTGTGAAGGGCTCAGTTGGGAAGATCATGAGCTTTTTGTGAGCTGGCTCCACAGTCCCATTCCTTCTGACTTGTGCAGATAGACCTCAGGGCTGGGCAGGACAGCCTCCCAGCTCGTGTGGATACACAGGAGAGTTTTCTTTTCTGTTGTCTAAGACGAAAGGACAAATGACACTTGGTTAGAATTCAAGAGGGTCTTTACAGGTAATCTTTTAACTGCAGCTCCCATTTTTCTCTTTATATAAGTCACAAGGCCTGTTGTACCCTCTTTCAAAATATGAATAATGATGCCTTCATTATCAAGAACTAATTAAAAACGACAGACTTTGTCCCCCGCCCCCGCCCCCATCATCAACTTGCACACCCTCTTGCCACCACCCACACGGCATCTGCTCAAGCCTAAAAATGAGTTTCAGTATTAGCCTAGGAAAGTCACAAAACAAAGTTGAAAATTTAAATTAGCTGCCAAGGAAGAAATCATACGTCAGTCCTCTGCTCAAACACATTGCATAAACAAGAAGAGAAGGAAGAAAAAAAAGAGAAACAGCAGAAGAAGGAAGAGAAGGAGGCAGAAAAGGAACAAGAGAAGAATGAAGAGACAAGAAGAAAGGAAGGAAAGAAGAAGGGAGAGAGGAAGGGAAGAGAGAGGCAGGGCAAACAGAAATGTGCACAACAATTGAAGGAAATTTTCAGTTTCCATGGGGCATAGGGTTCTACTAATTGACATCTACTTTTAAAATAGGAACAAGTAACTTAAAGATAATTTATTTCCAAAATAATTTATAAACTTAATGCACTTCTTCCTAAATGAATTGTTTTAGAGAACTTTCAAAAAGTTATTTTCTGTTTTCAGTTAAGTGGAAGATTAATTAAGAATAGTAAATATATTTTTGAAAAACATTAATAAAGGGATACCTGCATTTCCAGATAGGAAATTAAAAAGTCATAATGATTTACATATTTACTGACACAAAAATAGCCTGATAAATAAGGAGAAAAAAGCTCAGAAACAAAGAGTTATATATCTGATATTTCAGACAAATAAAAAAAACATGGATTCCTTATTGTTTTAGGGAAACTCTATGGTAAGGAATTGTATGACTTTCCACCAATTTGGTGGTTTGGAGAGGCAGAAATGATTTTCCCACAGATCTGGAGGTCTGAAGTCAGTTTCACTAAAAGGAGATCTGTGTGGGCTGAGCCAGTCCCTGCCCCCCTCCAACCTGAAAGTGAGCATCTACCCCTTGTCTCTGTCAGGCTCAGGTGGCACTGCTGTTCTGTGGTTGTGGTGACATTGTGCCAGTCTTGGCCCCCACCTTCATATGACTGTCTCTTTCATATCTGTCAACCCTCCCCGATCTTCTCTTATAAGGGCAGTGTGATTGGGCTTATGCACTAGCCAGATGATCCAGGACAATCTTCCCACGTCAAGATCTTTAGCTTAATCTAAATTGTCAGGGTCTCTTTTACGCATAAGGTTATATTACAGCTTCAAGTGACTAGGACTTGATATCTATGAATGGGTGTGATTCGTCCTACTGCAGTGGTAAGTTAGATTCTTATCTCACCTTTACGTCAAATTAATCTATAATATATTAAATACTTAAAGAGGAGATATAAAAGCAAATAGTAATCTGATCACAAAGATTGCCTTTTGAAATATAAAAGAAAAGGAAAAGGTTGCTGGTTTTGCTTGTATAAAAATTTGGCCCTGCTTAGGTCCAAAATACTATAAACAAAATGACAAAGAAATGACAAGTTAGAAAAGTATTTGTAAAAGACAAAAGTTTGTGCCACTACTTTATGAGGGGCTCCTATAAGTCAGAAAAAGAAAAACACTGCAGTAGAAAAATGGCCCTAGAACAGGGACAAGCATTTCATAAAAGAAGAAAACGTAAAAAAAGAACAGTAGTCATAAAAATTTAACTTTGTAGCAATAAACGCAAATTGAATGTTAATAATATATTACTTTTTGGAAAAATGATGTAAATTACAATACTTAACAGTGGCAAGTAAATGAAGAGGTTGACACTTTTATACTATAAGTGGCATGTTAATGGTGCAGGCTTTCTCAAGGCCAGTTTTGCAATATGTATGAAAGACCTAAAACTATATTCTTTTTTAATCTGAAATGATGATTTTAAATTATGGCAATAAGTGAGTAACAACACAAACAGAATTGGACATGCGCATTTTTTATAAATTCATTAAAACTTGGAAACATTACAAATGGTCTAACGTCCACAGTAGAAGATGGTTAAATAAATTGTAATGTAGCTGTAGGATGGGACACATAGCAGGCTGTATAAATTCTGTCTGATGAGACAGAGAATGCTCACAAGATGTACTTATATCAAAACGCTAGCAACAAGACCATCTGCATATCTGGACTGGTGAGTGTGTGTGTGTGTGTGTGTGTGTCTTGTGCATGCGTTTGTGTGCGTGTGTATATGTGCTTGCATGAGTATGTGTATGTGTGTGTATCTGAAACAATAAGTGAAATGTTAATAGAGGTCCTCACTGGAGTTAAGATTATGGGTACTTCTTTACTATAAAATTTTAAATTTTTTATAACAACTATGTATTACTTTTGCAATTTGGAAAGAAGAAAAATAAATTTATGTATTTAAAAATTATCTCCAGAATAAAGTCAAATCTTCAAACTATGGCAACTACTGGCCCTGTACAGTCTATTTTCAAATACATTTTCATTTTTAACTCCCTTGACTACCCAGCCGATGTTGCTATAGTAACACTGAATTTCTTGGTCTTCTCTGTGTTTTAAAAGTCTATGTCTTTATTCATGTTGTTCCTTCTGGCCCAAATCCCTAGGGACCCCACACCATTAAAGCCCATCTCTCCAAGGCAGGCAGAGATCAGGATGCCTAGCCCCAATCCTGGGCAGAATAAGTTACTTCCTTTCTTTGCCCTTACAGCTTACCACACTGATTGCCTCCTGCTGTGTTCCTGTGTCACGGTTCTGAACTTTCACCGGACTGTGAGCTCAGGGCAGGTGAGTTAGAGTCCATGGGCACTTCAGCACCAAGCCCAGGTTGGGGGTGAGACTGACCCCCCAAACAGCCTAAAGAGCTAAAGTTACCATAGGCCCTATTGCTAGGAAGGAAAGTAAGGGATGAGAGGCCCAAAGATGAGGGTCAAGCTTGATCTTTTAGGGATGGTCAAATGAAGTTTTACATTGGACATAGTTATTTCAACCTACAGATGAAGTTAAATCAATACATCTCAACTTGGTTTGAGTTGCCTGCTATTTCAGGATGTTTTGGTGTGAGGAAAACTGTTTGTTGTTGTTGTTCTTGAGCTGATAATTGGTGTGTTAAATGGTGCGGTTTTGTTTAGCATATGCTGGTTGTGTTTCAAAATAATCTCACCTCTTTACAACATCTGATTTCTGAGTTGTGCTGAATCATTTGCTTTGAAGGTAATTAGAAACAGTTGGGGAGCAAGTATGTTCCCTACTGAGGCCTTTCCCTGAAAGGCAGAGAATCGATGAAAAACAGGAGTCACATCCAGGACAAGCTGATGGGTCTTGGTCTGGTCAGATCCCCTTTGAGTCATAACCTACATGTGTTGTTTGTTTGCTAATAAGAAAAAGAAAATAGTTTTTGTGGGATTTGGATGACATCAGTTGCTGGGTCTGACACATTAGAGAAGAGAGGGCAGCTGTGTTCAAGGAGCGGGTGGAGCAGCAACAGAGCCGAGCACTTACCCAGGGAGGAGAGTAGCTGCACCATTTACTCCCGGGAACCTGTGAGAATGAGTCTAGGTCCCCACCATGGTCGCAAAAGAAATCACTGTTCACTTAGAATGAAAGGGACAAATTCCTAGACCCCAAATGTCATTGCTATAGGGGTAAAATGAAGGCTCTGGGTGGGTGTGCAGTTTTGGCTTTCAGGAGCTAGTGTTGCACATTGCACAGCGGGGCTTGTATACGTTAGGATGGAGGAGCAGGGGAAGAGTTTTAGTTTTCCAATTTTTTTTTCTCCCATTTTCTTCCTCCTCTACAAGCCTAAATCCCCTCTTCCCACAAAAGGAGAAGAAGGCAGAAATGGGTTTGCCTGTGTATGTCCAGAGGCAGGAAAATACAGAAGAGAGTTGAGTGGATGTCCAGCCCAGCCTGAGATTGTGCTGGCTTGGGAACTAAGCAGCCAGGCCTTGAGCAAGTCGCAAACTCCAGGGCTCCCGTTAGTTCTTGATAAGATGTTTGGTAAAAAATGAAATCATTGTTTCCAAACTTTATTTAGCATAAGAATCTCCTTTTTCTCAAAGAAAATATTACGTGGAATGACGCCTTCTCTACTAAACAAGATGCTGACAACAGTGCTATTCTGGCTGAAGTAGAGACGGTGGCTCACGGCCTGCCAGCTGCCTGTCCCTGACTCCTGGAACCAGGCCTTTGGGCATGTTGGCGTGCAACAGATTTGTCCTTTTCCTGCTCCTTCCTCCTTATAGTCACATATATACATAGGAAATAAAATTGCTTTGTGGCTCATCTCAGTCAGTCCAGTATGTACGATAATTTTAAAGTAACTTACCTGTTTTCAAAATAAAAACAAGTCAAACAAAACACTCATGCCTGCAACCCTGAGCAATACTCTACATAAAGGACATTGCATCTATTAGAAGCATGGCTTCTCTCCCTGTCTCCTCTTCCTTCACCCCCTTGCACACACGGTGGCTGCTTCCCAAGTCCTTGCCTCTCTGTCCCCTCAGTTACAGAGGTGCCGCCCTCCCTCCTCAAATCTCCTATGAGATTTATCCTCATCTCTCTGTCCCGTCTCCCTCGCCCATATCCAGTGAGAACCTGCCAGCTTCTTATTCTTCGCCAGTTCTGTTTTACACACTATGACCCCACGACCCCTGTAATAGTCCAAGGCAGAACAGCAGAGTTGGAGCTCTGTGGGCTTCTTCCCTTAAAGGTGTGGTGAGGAGAAGACTGCACATCCTTACAGGGGGTGGGGTATTTTTCCAACTTCTCTCCTCTCCTCTCCCATATGGCCTGCACCCTGCTCTCTGCCTCCACTTTAACTGAAATCTTTAAAAACAGACAGAATATAACTGGATCACATTCACACTTTGGGAAGTGTTTTGTATACTCATTTCCCCCTCATTGTGTGTGTGTGTGTGTGTGTGTGTGTGTGTCCTAAATCATGAACACTCTTGGGACCACGGCCCCTGCTGTGACATTTCTGTGCCATGGAAGAAGGTCACAAATTTAGGGAAGCCCTTTGACCTTTCCAAGTGAGTTCTCATGGGACTCCTCAGGCTCTGTGCCACTCCCTCCCCCCACCAGGTGATAGGTAGGCAGGTCCCAGCCAGGTTCAGAGAGTACTATCTGAGTGTACACGGGGCTCTGAGTCCAGCAGCACAGCACCTCCTACTGTGGTGTTTACATTTACCTGGGTCCCTCCGGCCAGAGGCTGTTTCTCAGGCACAGTCAACACAGGTGAAGTTCTTTGTGGGCTCTGCATGAAAGAACAACCTGATCTCTGCTGGCATTTCAGAAGACTCTGTGTTTTCCTAATCAGTGTGCCCCCATTTCTTGCCTTTGATAGGTGTGGATTCATTTCCTTATGTGTCACTTAGTTCACAGGTACCATGGTGCCTGCTCCCAGCACTCCTTGCAGTCTGTGCCAAACACACACACACACACACACACACACACACCTCAGAACTATCTCTCAGTAACACAAACATCCCACAGAGTGTGCCCCTTTATTCAGTGCTTACCTACCAATTTGTGTCTTTAGCAGTCCAAACCAACATCAGGACTATTAGTAAAGGTGGAAGATGGAGGACATTCTAATGTAGGGGCAACTCACTGTTGCCCCTGGAGCCGGCAGGGCTGGGGAACCAGTTCTACCTCATTGCAAAGCTGTACACCTGCGACAAATCGCATTTGCCCAACATATTTTCTCTCCCTCTTCCCACACTCGTGCCCTTGAGCTAAAACCAGGTTTTGCCTGGGCTAAAAGAGATAAGGAGGGAGAGCTGGACTTTGAGTCCAGTGATCTATCCAAATCTGACACTGCTGGAAGGGACAGAGAAAGTTCCGAGGTCAAGTGGTTAATGGTATGGACTTGGAGGTGAATCCTGAAACTGCTGCTTATGAGCTGTGTGACTTCAGACAAATGACTTGTGTTTCCTTTTTTTTTTTTTTTGGTACCTGGGATCAAACTCAGGACCTTGCACTTGAGAGGTAGGTGTGGTGCCACTGAGCTAAATCCCCGGCCCAAATGATTTATGTTTCTGTGTCTCAGTCCCTTCCTTTGTAGGGCAGAATACCAGTCCCTACCTCATGGGGTAATTGTGAGGGTGGAGTTACAATGCCAGGAAACTCTGTAGAAGCACATGTTATTCTGGACACAATGGAAATAGCCTTCCATTCTCACCAGGGTTATTCCCCTGATCCAAGCCACTGTCACGAACCAGGGTTCTTGCATACAGTCTTTTCCCTGGTCCTCTTGCTTCTGTCCTTGATGCCCGACTGAAGCCAGAATGTGTCATGTGCTCACTCAGTGTGGTTGACTATTCGTTTCACTCAGATTAAACCATTTGGTCTCTGCAGCTGTTTCCAACTCCTCATCTTCCTCTCTCCCTCACCTGCCCTGTCCCAGTGGTTTTTATGCTATTCCTCCAGCAGGAAGTCTATGCCTAGAATTCCAGGTTGTTCCTCCCTTCAAACTGTCCACAACTATTTGAATCCTAGTGTACACATGAAGCCTTAGAACTGGGAAAATAAGTTTTTGATAATCTCCCAAAGGACAAAGCTCAAGCTCTGCCCCTCCAGCCCACCTGTAATGCTCTGAATTTCCAAAGCACTTCCATCCTAGGAATCTCACCTTTTCATAATTGAGTCATTATTGTCTGCTGTACGGATCCACCCCATTGTCCATGTCTGTCACCCCAAGGAGGTGACATCCTTATGGAAAGCTGGAGCCAAGCTTTCTGGCTGATTTCTATTTCTCCCAGCACCATGCACCTCAGGTCTTGATTAGTTCACTCGGGCAGTACTAACTGATGACTCTGGGTCCTGGGAAGGGTTTCTCAGCTATGTCTACAAGTGTGAGTGAATTGCTTCATGTGTTACCTACTGAGCACCCACCAAATGCCAGAGCAGGATGCAGGCATATCAGAAAATACAACATAATCCCTGCTCTCCACAATTCTTCTAGAAGAGGTTTTTAGCCTTATGCTTTAAAATTACCTGATGGGTTTAAAGAATGAAGCTATAGGTATACATTATATATAATTATTCATTAGATATAGATATACATTGGCTATAAATATACATAATTACACACAGACACACAACACACACAGACACACACACACACAGAGCCATCCAGAGCAATGAATCTGAATCTTTGGCAGGGGATCCTGGTAGGCATATCTTTTCCAAGCTCCACTGGAGGTGGCTTTTGTGAGGCTTTGACCAGGTGACCAGCACTGGACAGTCCCATCTAAGATGATGAACCTAAAGAAGAGGGGTGTCTGGTCACCCTATAGAATCAGAGCCAATACGGGTGAGATTAGAGAAGCGAGTCAATTTTTTATAAGTACTAGAACTGGATTTAATGCCACTCACTTTACTGGGGACTTGGAAGGGAGATTCTCTTTTCAGATTTTGATATTATATGATTTCTGAAAAAATGTGCCAAGACACTTCAATGGGAGAAAGAATAGTCTTTAAAAACGGTGCTCAGAGTGTCGAAAGATGCTGGACCCTTTTGTTCTACTATACACAAAAATTAACTTAAAATGGATTGTACACTTATATGTAAGAATTAAAAGTATAAAACTCTTAAAAGAAAATGAAAGATTAGACATTCATGGCCTTGAGTTACAAAAAGTCTTCCTAGATATGACACCAAAAAGATAGGGTACAAAAGAAAAAAACAGATAAATTGATTTTATCAAACTTAAAAACTTTTGTTTCAAAGACTGCCATCACGAAAGGTTTAAAAATCTCCAGAATTGAAGGAATATATGCAAATCATATATCTGACTTTAAAAATCCTGTGTCTAGAATATAAAACTCTTACAATCCAATCTAAAGCAACCCACTTTTAAAATGAGCTAAAGGGTCAGGGATTTAGCTCAGTGGTTCCACTGCCTGCCTCACAAGCACAAGGACCCGTGTTCATTCCCCAGTACCAAAAACAAAACAAACCAAACAAACAAAAAAACCTAAATATTTGAATAGACAGTTCTAAAAATGGCGATAAACAAGTGACAAAAAAAAAAAACCCTATATAAAAGATGCCACCAACTTGCTCACAGATATTGGAACTGTACATATGATTATAAATTTTGGAAATACAGAGAGGTGCAGTAAAATCCCTTGAGGCTCTGATTGTTTACAGCTAAGAATCTTTGATTGTTCAAAATGCCTGCATTTCGTGCATTAAATACCCTCTTTTCCTCTCGTGACTTTAAGTTCTTGTCTGATTTAGAAACTTTCTCTTTTGTTTTCTGTGGTGGCCATTCAGAAAGCCTCTCAGTCCAGAATGAGTCTAGTCTGCTGCTCACAGACTGGATTTTATGTATTCATTGTGGACCCAGAGTGAGATCTTAATCTCTTAAAAAATACGGTTCTTGGGAGCAGAAGTCTAGTTATAGGGTGAGAAAAATGAACATCAAATAATGTTGTTAGGCTTGAAAAAGGAGCAGTGAGTCCTCCCAGGAGACAAGGAGAGAGATTAACCCAAGGAGTTGGCAAGCCAGGCAGCAGCACTGGGTAGCAGCTCCATACTCACCACGAGTGAGGAGTCCCTGCTCCCTGCGTTCAGCTGGACTAGACACTGGCTTCTCGGTGGCCTTTGTAACCTGAATAAGGAAGAGGGAGGGACTGGCTTTAAGAGCAGCCTTTGAATCCACCGCCTGAATGAAGGACCAGGGACACACCTGATCTGTCCAGTGGCCAGCAGCTTCTTTCAAATAACAAACAAGCTGGGCATTTACACTGTGTGTGTAAATTTCCATCACAATAGCCGCCCTGCTTTTATGGAACTAGGAACAATTTGATAAAGGGGGAAGATAAGATAAAGGGGGAAGCCTTTGAAAGAGGACACTGGCTGAAATAACATCTCTGTCCAAGGGGCACGTTTTCTCTACACGCGATCCTTTCGGTTGAGTGTCACATGGCAGAGAAATATGATAGCGACTCCAAATGGTCATTTGTGCACATTTGGGTAATGAATTTTAAGGAGATGACTGAGGAGCTCTGGGCAGTCTGAACTTGGGTGCTTGGCCCTGATTTGTGAGGGGAGTGGAACGTGTGCTCAGTGAATGATGGGCGCATCCAGCCAGCGTGCGGCTCCCTTGTAGGGGGCGGGTCCACAGGCTTGCAGAGAGTCTGAGTGGGCACGAGTTGTA